GTGGAGAGTAGAAGAAGTAATTCTTTTTTTTTTTCACATTTTCTTGAAGTCGTGGAAATAGTACTTATTTCTCATCATTCACTTTTTTTTAAGTCAATTATAAATATTGCTAGGAAGAGAGCAACAAGATCTTTTGAGATTTTATTTAGAGTGAAGAATATCCATGTTTAAAAAATAATATTATTCCTAACTAATTTGAATTTCGTTTACTTCCGAGCTGAGCCATGAGATGCAGAAAAATTTAAGAAATACGATGTCATAAGACACATCATCCTTTAAGGAGGTAGCAAAAATAGTTTTTTTGGAGAAACAAACAAACTTTGTTTTTTGAAAGTTTTAGAAGTAGCCTCTACTTCTTTCAATTAAGCTACTTCATATCTACCCCGTGTAAAAAAAAGACCCTTACAATATGTTTGGATGCTATAAAGTAAAATTCATAAAGCATGCTCTTCTCATTTTTTATTTTAACAATATAATTTCTCATTTTATTTTTTATTTCATATCCTTTATAGTCAATATTAATCATAATCATTTACTAAATTATTGGCAATTGTGATTTAAGATAATGTCCTCTCAATCTTTTTGATCGGCAAAGTGAGTCCAAACCTAAATGATATTATGTTCTTGTTTAGAGATTTTTTTTTAAATTTTGAATTATGCATGGGCGTGAGCCGGTCCCGTTTAGGCCCGTGAATTAGCCTGCTGAGTTCAAGATAGAGCCGAGTATGACATGGATCAGAGTGGGCTGATCCTGCTTCTCTGATCCACGGATCAAAGACTGGATCCAACCTAGCCCACGACTCACCTAGGGGCGATCTCACTCGAAACCTACCTATGGCCCATGGTATTTTTTTTCCAATTTTTTCCTACCTAAAATATATTAAAATTGTATTTAATTAATTTATTTTTTTTCTTAGTTCACACCTTTTATATATATGTATTGCACAAAGATAAATATTACATAGAAAAACATCATAATCACACAGATATGCATGGTTCAGACTTTAGAGGAAGACCTACATCTACAGGAAGCTAAGGATTTTCCTTTAGCTTAAACTTAAATTACAAATACAAGAGGAAAAAAAGAAAAAAAATATGTTTATTGTTAATGTTAAAAAAATTAAACATTCATAATTAACTCGGGGTTTGCCGGACTGGGTCAAGCTGAGTCACTGGTGGGTCGGGCCTATAGTGGGTCCGGCCTGCTATTTTGATCCCACGTATGGCTCAAAACCATACCCGACTCATAACCCACCTCCAATGTGGGCCTGGTTGAGCTCGACCCAGTGCGGACCTGGCCGATTTAGCCCGCAATTTGGATAGACCCATGTCCAACCCTATTTTGAATGCACCATATGGTAATTTGTAGTTGAAGGGAAGGGCATTTCTACGAAGGCAAACGATAACAAGGAGAAAAGGATTGATAAAAGCATTACCCATTAAAACTCTTTTACTTAAATTCCTTACGTTAGGTAGGGTAGAGTAGAGGTGTGGGCAGGCAGCTAACGACCCTAAATAGCCTAAAACTATTGCACGGCGGGATTTTCCTTCTTGGGCCCATGCTCTGGACTAATAAATATTACGGACCCACAATTTTATGAGAAAAAAAAATCATAAAGAAAAGAAAAATCATAAAGAAACTAGTTGGCTTCAGTTCAATTTGTAATTTCAGTCAAATCTCATATTACCATTTGTAAAATTCATATGCAACTAATTGAACAAAAATTTAAATAGACTTGATCCTTCATGCAAATATTTTTTCAGATACAAATAAGATTTCAGTTTGAACTTATGCAATCCATGGATAAAACAAACTGATATGCATTAAAGATAGCATATATTTATATTTTATTCATTCGAGGTATATTTCGAATAGATTTTTTTTTTTCTCTTGTAAAAATGCCCTTCTCATTTAAGTGTTCGGGTCCTACTTGGCAACAAGCCCATGCTGGGTCAACCCTGTAAACTTGACTACGACGTCTTTCTTGTTTTCTTTTTCTTTAAATTTATTTTCTTCTGACTTTTTCCCCCTAAAATTTATAGGCTTTTGACGCCCACCATGGTTTACAAGGACCACTTCCTATTTGAGTTTTGAAACTTCGGATGAGATTTTTTTCCCGCATATACAATTTAATGTTCTATTCTATTATTATCATACTCCTTTTAAGTGAGAGTTCTAAAAAACCTTTATTTGATGAGTTTACATCAAATTATTTTCAATATTAATATTTTTATTCTAATTATAATTGGTTATCAACTAAAGCTTTTAAGTAAAAAATTAAACTTCTAAATTAAAACTCCCTCTATTTCAAAACTAATTAATAAAAATTTGATCTAACTAGAATTGGTTGATAACTAAAGAACAGAAAGCGGTTTAGAGAACATTAGATTGTAAACATAATATGCACTGCATGCATAAATATTAACCAATTGATTGATACCAAGCTATGGAAGTAATTAATTTATTAACAATAATTAATTGATTAAAATAATTTTATATTAGTCCCTTAAATCTTTCAGATTTTGAAATTAGTCTGTCAAAGCATTGAAGTTATTATTAGGTAACTCAATTTTTAAGTTATTTTAAAATTTCTCATTCAAATTAATGGTATAATTAGCAATTCGAGGGACTAAATTTTCTCTAATTGCTTTTTTACTCTTGATTGGAGGAGCTAATATCAAAAAA